AACTGCTCTCTCTCTTCTGGCGTTGTCCCTGCTGATCTTAAACATGCCACTGTAGTACCTATCCTGAAAAAAACCATCTCTAGACCCATCCTCCCCCTCTAACTATCGTGCAATATCCCTGCTCCCCTTTTCCTCAAAGCTTCTGGAAAGACTTGTCTTTACCAGTGTGTCTCATTTCCTCAATTCCAACTCTCTCCTTGACCCTCTTAAATCTGGCTTCCGCCCTCTCCACTCTACTGAGACTGCGTTTATCGAAGTTACTAATGACCTAATCGCAGCTAAATCCAAAGGCCACTACTCCATACTAATTCTTCTTGACCTCTCTGCTGCCTTTGACATGGTTGATCATGCTCTCCTTCTTCAAACTCTTCAATCACTCGGTCTCTGTGACTCTGTCCTCTCGTGGTTTTCCTCTTGTACTTTTTTCTAATGACACCTCCTCCCCCCCCCCGTCCTGTCTCGGTTGGAGTCCCCCAAGGCTCTGTATTCGGTCCCTTTCTATTTTCTCCTTATACTGCCTCTCTTGGCAAACTTATTACCTCTTTTGGATTCCACTACCACCTGTATGCTGATGACACCCAGATACTTCTCTCCTCCCCGGTACTCTCTCCTGCTGTCCTGCAATGTTTCACTGCTTGCCTTTCTTCCATCTAAGACTGGATGTCCTCCGGCTTTCTGAAACTCAATCTCTCTAAAACTGAGCTCCTTGTCTTTCCTCCTCCTAATACTGATTTCTTTTGCTCTCCCTTCAAGTTAGTGGTACCCACATAAGTCCATCATTGCAAGCGCGCTGTCCTGGCGTTATAGTTGATGGCGTTATATTTTCATTTCCCTCCCCCCCAATGACTGACTAATGTCGGTCAGCAAACTCACCTAGCCCCGATACTACCATATCTTTTTAAGTTATTAAGCACAAGTTCGTGCAAACTGCCACAAATTTCCTTCATCCATACTTCAACCTGGATTGCCAAGCTCTAACTCCATATAGTGAATACATCTCCATACGCCCCCGTGGCTGATTAATTGGTGATTCAAGAACCAACACTGCGGTGCCCGAACTGTTCCCCGCTGGTTGTAATCCTTCAACTGGACTTACTTGGCTACCTACGCTTGCTACCATAATTCATTGCTGATGGTGTGACATTGGTACTGGATCTCCCTGTCTCTGGGAATATGGGATCCTCTGGAACATGAGGCAGGCCTTGGCACAGTAGTTTTACTAGAGGTCTTGCACTGCGAGTCCATAGAAGTCCTGAAGGACACCCAACTGTCGAGGACAGGACTCTTAGTCTGCAACATTTGGTGTGCCCATGTTTTGATCCGTCCAGATAGCAGGTTGATAGCCTCTCGGACCTTAATGAAGTCGTTTGCATATGTCAGAAGCTTTAAAGCGAATAACAACTCACAATCCACCTTAAAGTACTGGAAGGATGTATGGTTATCAGGCATAACAACGAATGGCTCAGAATAAGCAGGTTCCGGGGCTGGATGTACTGTGCCTTTAAGAATCGGAACTTCTCGCTGCAGCTCCAGAACCGTCTGGGCCAGGCTGGACACTTGCACATCTCTGCGGACTCCATGATAGTCAGTTCCTTATGTCATGGTCTTACCTTGGTTGGAGTCCGAAGTGCAGAGATGTATGCTCACCCTTGCAGGTAAAAATAAATCCACGGTAACCAGGTAAGAAACTACCTGGGCTGTGAATCTGTGCACGGGAGCTTAGACAGGAACAATAACCAGGTACGAGGAAACAGACAAGGGTAAATCCAGAAGAGTAATCAGGCACAGTTCCAAAGGTCAGGGCAGGCAGCAAACAGGCAATAACAAAGATTCCACAAGCAGGGTTCACAAGCCAAGTCAGTCTTAAGTAACAGGATACAGGATACAATGAACTGACACTGCCTTCGGGGAGAGGCAGTGTTATATACATGGATAATGAGTAATCTGCCTCAGGTGGACTTAGAGTGATAGACAGCAACCACAGTTGAAGTCCAGCCCCCAGTGCTGCAGACAATACCAGGTAAACAGGGCAAGTTCTGAAGTGGCTCAGAGGCAGGAAAGATCGCTTATAATACAGAAGCTCCCAGGTTCAAATCCCCTGTTCATAAGTCATGTGGAAGCCCAGTAAAAGGAGTATGAATTTTTCAGAATAACCTGCAAAGTTTAAGTCACATTCTGAAAATGGATGTCCTTCCTAAATTGCTTTATCTGTTGCATGTTTTGCATGTTTATCTGTCCAATACAAGACATTAACATGCCAAGGGGGATTAGGTCTATGATACAGTAATCACGCTCACCAGGATATATGAGTGGTCAACACCTCACATTCGCAACAATGGGTATAGTTGGAATCCCTTGCATTCACGATCCCCCTTCACACAGTACCATGACATAAATCTGGGAATAACTTCCTGCTATCTACCCACACCCAACCATCACCCCTCTATCCACTTACTGATAAACCTGCTATTCCAACCTGGTTGTTAACTGGCATCTTTTAAAAAGTTTGCAGCCCCTGCCCAACACCTTCAGTTAGGGGCCGTGCTGAATGAAAAAGGCACGAAACCCTGCCAGGAACCTAGGCGGGTATGCCGACCCATGGAACTAAGGGGGAGCAATGTGAAGAAACTACACCTTTTGTTTCATTACCTTTGATTTTTTTCAGTAAAACTACTGAACACCGACCACCCCCCTGGCTCATTAACTACAAACAGACTGCAAGTGCTCCCTCTGTGTGGCCGCCGTTCATATAGCCGAATGCCACGTGCAGGAGAAAATGGTGACCATCTTGTTCATCTTGGCGGCGGGACTTGGTCGTTGAGTGTCTGGAACTTAAATCGGACACTCTACTTCCCGAATGCCGGTCAACGGCGCTAACACCTGCTTCCTTTCACCGACCAGCCACGAACTAGGGGAACAAATGCTACCGATAAGCCAGGGGAACCATTTGTGGATTTGTTCGGTTTTTAGACTTTTCTAAATAGACCGACCGCACAGCCTAACGTCATGGAACTATTTCTGTGCAGGAGCCTCGTGTGAAATTAAGACTTCTATGGAACTTCCGAACCCCTGACCCGGTCTGGGTGATTTTTTAATATGTTGGTCCCCCAGATCGGGACTACAAGGGGATATGACTTTTGTGGGGTTTCCATGGAGTTTGGGGGTACTTTCTGGGGTTTTTTTGGAAATGTGTGCTTTTTGTGTTTGGAGATAATTGAGTTTGGTATAGTGCTTGACTCCATTACATCCCCAGTACAGGGGAAGGATTATATTAATGTGTGTAGGAGTGTCCTGGACCTGAGAGCTAATGTAACTACAGAATGTATTTTGTCACTGTCCCCTCTCAGGTCCAGTGGGCAATGCCCCTGGAATATGTCAACGTAAAGCCTGTACATTTGTAACTGCATATAAACTGGACGGTTAGCCTGAATAAACCATTCCTGTTTCACCCTTCATCTAGTTTAATATTATTATTATTATTATGATATTTATATAGTGCCATCAAATTCCGCAGCACTTTACAATGGGTGGACAAACAGACATGTAGTTGTAATCAGACAAGTTGGACACACAGGAACAGAGGGGTTGAGGGCCCTGCTCAATGAGCTTACATGCTAGAGGGAGTGGGGTAAAATGACACAAAAAGGTAAGGATGTGACAGTTGCAGAAGAGGAATCAGTCAGGAGCTATTAACAGTTTAACTGATACGCTTTTATAAAGAAGTGGGTTTTTAACGATTTTTTTTGAAGGAGTGGAGACTGAGTGAGAATCTAACGGAGGAGGGAAACGAGTTCCACAGGAACGGTGCAGCCCTCGAGAAATCTTGAAGGCGAGCATCAGAGGTGGGAGTACGGACAGAAGATAGACATAAGTCTTCAGCAGATCGTAAGGGCCTAGACGGGACATACTTGTGTTTAAGGGAGGATAGATAGGTGGGAGCAGCATTATGTAGAGAACCAAAATTTTAAATTGAGCTCTATATTTTACAGGAAGCCAATGTAGGGACTGACAGAAGGGTGAGGCATTGGAGGTGTGGGTGGACAGGAAGATGAGCCTCGTTGCCACATTCATTATGGACTGTAACGGCGCAAGTTGGGAGCACGTAAGGCCACTGAGAAGCGGATTACAGTAGTCAAGGCGAGAGAGGACAGTGGAATGGACCAACACCTTAGTCGCATCTGGCGTTAAGTAGGGGCGGATGCGCGCAATGTTTTTGAGATGGTCAGAGTCAAAGAGAACACCTAGGCAGCGAGCCTGCGTGGTGGAGCTGATGGTGGCACCGTTGACTTGGAGGGAGACAGACACAGGAGTAACAACACTTGAGGGAGGAAAGACCAGAATTTCAGTTTTGGTCAAGTTTAGTTAAAGGAAGTGGGCAGCCATCCAGTTAGAAATAGCAGAGAGGCAGTCAGATACACTAGTCAAGAGGGAGGGGGAGAGATCAGAAGAGGACAGGTAGATTTAGGCTGATGTTTGGGTATCTGTCTGATGTGCTTGGGGAATATACTAAGATGCTGTACTTAGTCTGGAGAACGTTCGAATCAACAAGCGTACTGTGAGCTATAATCACTCAGCCTCTAGCAGTTTGGGAGGAAACAGACGAACGGGTATCTGCAATACCAGTGTTCGTTACACCAACAAACTGCTATACACCGGTCCGACACACTCAACTCACACACTTAATTTCCTCCACCCCAAACCTATTATTAGGCAACAGAACACCCATGATATTTGAATCCACATGTACACATCACACCCTCCAATCCAAACACCTATCCACCTTCTATAAACTCATACAAAACCGACCTGACCTCCCCCTGCCCGACTTTGTCAAGCTCTTGAAGGAGGAGCTAGACATTTCTTGAACACAAAAAGACTGGACAAGCATATTCACTAACATATTTAAAAAATCCATAAGCAACAATACCCATGAGGAAAACAACAAACGGATTTTGCGATGCCACTACACGCCTACATGGATCAACCGTTTCTTCCCCAACTCACCTAACACATGCTGGAGGTGCAGACAAACCTTGGGGCACCAGGGCAGATTTGGTGGACATGCCCCACTCTACAAGAATACTGGGGAAAAATGAAATCATTAATACACACGATTACAGGAATCCACATTCCCGAAAACGCCTGAAGCTATGCTTCCCAAATAGTCCCCAATAGTCAAGCATTAACGCTTGCTAATAACAAAAACAACTGCCAACCTATTGATCTCCATTAAATGGAAACACACCTCACCCCCCACAATCAGGCAATGGATTCAGAAAGTAGAATCCAACAGAATAATGGAAGAACTTACCTACTCCTTCTCTCACAAATACAAATGCTATACCAAAATCTGGGAACCTTGGCTGTACTTCCTTCACACGCAGAACCATACTACACTGCTCAAAAAAATAAAGGGAACACTTAAACAACACAATGTAACTTCAAGTCAATCACACTTCTGTGAAATCAAACTTAGGAAGCAACACTGAGTGACAATCAATTTCACATGCTGTTGTGCAAATGGGATAGACAACAGGTGAAAATTATAGGCAATTAGCAAGACACCCCCAATAAATGAGTGGTTCTGCAGGTGGTGACCACAGACCACTTCTCAGTTCCTATGCTTCCTGGCTGATGTTTTGGTCACTTTTGAATGCTGGCGGTGCTTTCACTCTAGTGGTAGCATGAGACGGAGTCTACAACCCACACAAGTGGCTCAGGTAGTGCAGCTCAGTCAGGATGGAACATCAATGCAAGCTGTGGCCGTCTTACATGCCTTCCCAGGCCAAAGACCACACGGAGCAAATCTCCAAGGCACCGACCACACCGCCGGAGGCTTGGCTGCCAGGGTCGGCGGCAGAACCTCCAAGCTCCCCACGGCGCCCGACAGAGGTAATGCCCGGCCACACCGAGTCAGTGGACTGCTGGTGCAAGCCTTCATAACGACCTGGGGGTGGCAGACAGCCGTCAAGTACCAGCATCCTGCTGCCCCCATGTGGACTCTCTTAGCCGAAAGTGCCACCTTGCCCAGCAGGGGTATCAGCTGATTATTGACTCTCTGCCTCACAGACCTGACAGAAAAGATCCCGGCTGTGAGCATTATAAGACCCATGCCGCAACATTTTAATGGACGCTACCCAGTGGGCTCCTATTAAGTGGACACGCTCCCCATGTTACCTGTTAAATGTTAACTTTTTGCATACCATACCCAATGTCTGACATGCCGGAGACTTAATCTTACCTACAAAGATTCCCTTAACACAACACAATACCTATGCATTTACCCACACTCACGACACCTAGCAAGCCATCACACATGGGTCATAGGAAAGGTAGTTAAGAAAACACCAACCTATTTAAGACACTGATTTCTCTATGTTCACACACAGTCAAGGCGCGGCAGCTTCACATGTCTTTAAACACTCAATTGTTCAATAGTTTAACTGCATTAGCATGTTTTAACAACTAGCATTTTGCTTTCACACTAATCGTATTTTTCAAAAGCGTAGTTTCAGTATTATTTTATTAATTATACAATACAGTTACGTGCATGCCATTAATCTACTTAAATAATATTAAAAGAGGCTGACAATTTTCACAGATTATATATATTGTGCTGTACCAATCCCAACTTGTATGCATCTTTATCTTCTCCCCTTCTTCATTCTGTACCCTTGCAACTTTACACCTCAATAAAAGAAAGATTGACCAAAAAAAAAATTAAGCTTAAATGTCTGTTTCCAGACTCTTGTAATTAATGGGCAAGTCCACCAAATGCTTATCAAACTTCCCGTGTTTTTTTACCACAACTCCAGCAACAATTATCTACCTCTATAGGATTATCTCTAATCTTGTTGGTACCCAATCCCATATATTATATCATTTGTATTGGGTTTATCTAAAATTAAGGCAATGTATATATTTATATATAATTAATTAGTGTGGCTGACTCCTGTTCTTTTTATTTGTGAGATCTTGTTCCCATCTTTTGATAGCCAATAGATGATCTGAGTGTATTTTGATATAAAACCCTTATAGTGATCTTGCTTCATTCAGATATATAAATCTTTTATTGCATCAGATCTACCTTTATAAAGGTGTTTTGTTAGGAAACCTCCCACCCAAAGTAATTAAATATTTCCTAATTGGATATATTGTATTTGTTTACATGTTTAGGGAAGGATTTGAATGTTATCCTCAGTCATATCATTTATTATTTCAATACCTTTACTCTTACAATTATCCAGTTTAATATTTTCTATGAATGATTCTAGTTAAGTGACAATCAACCTATTGCATTTTCTATATGTATTTTTTAAATTATATTCCATACTTCTAGAATATCATTTAAACTTCTTACATTTTATATATATATATATATATTTGTGTACGGGATTATAAAAGGAGGCGTATACTTAAAATGGAGAGTTATGTTTTTGAAAATGAGAGTCGGTTGAGGTGTGCCGAAACCGACGAGAGGTTAGGCCTGTAAAAAAGAGGGCCCACCCTGAATTATTGATATTTAAAAAGGGTGTGGAGGGAGGGGATTTCCGGAACCGACGAAGACAGGTAAGTGAGGGTTCCCTGGGCTTAAATAGGCCTAAATCCCTCCCACAATTACAGGGATACGCCTTCTATTTGTGTACGGGATTATAAAAGGGGGCGTATACTTAAAATGGAGAGTTATGTTTTTGAAAATGAGAGTCGGTTGAGGTGTGCCGAAACCGACGAGAGGTTAGGCCTGTAAAAAAGAGGGCAAAAATAAGAGAAACAAACATTTATTTAACACAACATTATTTAGACATGTTACAAAAAGCAAGTCTGATCTCTTTCTCCGGGTTTGGAATGTACTGGTTATACGCGGAGGATTTCCAGCGGCCCATTTTCTTTATAATATGTGTTGGCACTTGACTACTTGAGGCTGTTGTGGCTGCTCCAATGCGGAATGAGTGTCCCGTGAAGGAGTTAGGATTGAGGCCTATTCTGAGGAGTAAAGCGCGGATGTATAGCATGAATTGTTTAGTGGTGAGAGGCTTACCTTGTAGGGTCAACAGTGGCAAATCTGGATTTTTAACTCGTTGACTCAGTATGAACTTATCTAGTACTTGTACTGGGCACCAGATGGAACCGGTAGGAAAGTATTTAATGTCTACTGGGGGACCTGATTGGTTAGTTTTTGTGCGGGGAATAGATAATATGAAATGATCATGTACTCTAGTTAGGTTTCCTTGTTTGAGACAATTTTTTGTCTCGGATATTTTCTCTACTGAAAATTCTTTAGGTCTGAGGAACCCAAAAAAGGCCAGATACGCTGCTGTCTTAATTACTAGGTTAGTGTTATATTCAAAAGGATTTTTATCTAATAGATTGGAGATATCTTTAAAGAGGTTACTGTCTATGGGGAGTCTTTTCAGGGCTACATGTGCCTTTTGTCTCTGGATACCTTTTAGTATACTTTTAACAGGGTATGTGGACAAAAAGGGGACTTGTTCGGGAAAAGAATTAGCATGAAATGTTGTACTCCTGTTAAATAAAGTTTTATGGTATTGTAGGCTAGTTTTAATGAGAGGTGGCAAAAAGTTGAGAATGCAACCATAGTTTCTACAGAAAAACAGTTTATTATATTGAAATCTCATACAAATTTTTTGAACAGGTCAAATGCCCTATCGTAAGCTTTTTTTGTGTTTTCCGACAAGGCTGCCTGTGCCAGAATTCTACTATGTTCTAATAATTGATTTAGAGCATGATTAGGTCTTTGAATTGTGGGGGATTTATGGAGTGTTTGTTTGCTGTAGGGTGTAGTTTGAAGAATTCCTGCAAATTAAAACGAGACAAAGCATCAGCTGCGTTATTTAAAACACCAGGGACATGGATACAATGCATATAGAACTGTAAATTTGCAGCCAACCAAGTAAGTTTCCTTACGAGACTCATGATTGGTAGGGACTGAGAACGGCCCTTGTTAATTATGTCGCATGCTGCTTGGTTATCAGAGTAACATTTCACTGCTTTCCCCCTCCAATGATTTCCCCAGATGAGAGCTGCCGCTACTATTGGGAAAATTTCAAAGAATGCAGAGGTTTTGTCGAAATTCTCTAGGGTAACTGTTTCGGGTGGCCAACTGTCGTACACCCATTCGTCCTCAAATATTGCAGCGTACCCGGTGGTAGCTGCTGCGTCTGTCCAGATAACCGGGGACTCATCTGATATGGGGGGAATAAAAAGTGACCTACCGTTCCAAGTTGTTAAAAACAGTTCCCACATATTAAGGTCGGCCCTCGCAGGATTATCTAGACTAATTCTAGTGCCGTCGTCAGGGAGGCCGTGTAGGAGAGACAGAAGCCTAGAGATGAAAGACCTGCCTTGAGGGACAATTCTCATGGCGAAGTTAAGGGAACCCAAAAGCGACTGTAACTCTTTCCTGGTACAAGACCCTTGGTTGGTGCAGTTGTGAATGTTAGTAAGAATTCTGTCTACTTTCGTCTGAGGGAGGCTAGCTTGCATAGACGCGGAATTAAGAGTGATGCCTAAGAAAGTTATTTCTGTACTGGGACCCTCTGTTTTGTTTGGAGCTACCGGGACTCCTAAGTCATTAAATAGGGATAGTGCATTATTTAGACTATGTGGCGTGTAGTAGCTAGGCTCGATATATAAAAAGTCATCGAGGTAGTGAATTACTACTGGGCATCTGGAATTGTTTAGTAGCAGCCAGTTTAAGGTTTCTGCGAATATATCGAAGATTTTTGGGCTACTTTTGGAGCCGAAGGTCAGCCTGGTTGCAAAATAGTATTTCCCTTCCCACTTAACACCATGAAGGTGCCAGAGTGACTGTTTAATTGGTAAGAGTTTGAAAGCGTTTGAAATATCTGTTTTGCTCAACCAGGCTGCCTCGCCCGAATTGATGATAGCTTGTATGGCGTCGTCTATTTTTGCATACTGCAGTGAAAAGTCTTCTGACGGTATGAGAGAATTTAAGCTTGGGGCTGTGGAAGTATGAGGTGCTGAAAAGTCGATTATTAACCTCTTTTTATTGTTAAACTTGCCCGTGGCTATACCGAGTGGACTGGTTCTCCAGGAGGTGAAGGGTGGAGTAGTAAAGGGACCTATCATGAAACCAAGTTCAATTTCTTTATTGAGGAGATCCGTTAAAGTGACTGGGTCTGTAACAGCTGATTGTAGGTTGGGGCATTCTAGTATGCCTGAAGGGAGTGCTACCAAACCTGTGTGAAAGCCTGTCGTGAAACCTGATACGAGAAAGTCTGTCAAGTAGGAAGAAGGATGTACAGTCAGGTAACGTTGTAAATTGTTTACGTTTATTGGGGTCATAGCTTTTTTAGGGAACAGTTTGTTTGGACACATGGTTTTCGCATGTGCTCTGAAACAGATTGAGCAAACATGAAGCAATCTACAAGCGCTGTAACTACAGCCTCCTGCGTTAAAGTTGTTACAGACTTGAGCTTTCCCGAGAAATACTATAGGTCTCCCCAACTTATCTTTTATTTCCCTTTGATTAGGGAAATAATCCGGACTGGTACTACTATTAGACGGACCACTTATATTATTTGGACAGAAATTTGCCGTATGAGACGCTGAGGCACATATTGCACATGCTGGTGTTTTAAGCCCGGCAAAATGTCTACAGAATAATTCTGTATCCAATTGACTCCAATCGGTGGGGGTGTTGAACTGGGCCAATGATGCAGCTGACTTGGCAGCAAAGGACTTATGGTAGTCGTAAAACGCGTACCCCCCGTATTTATAGGCTAACTCCACCAGTTTGTGCAGATATAGATCCAACTCTTCTCTACGGTGTGGGAAGGCAGTGCAAATTACGTCTCTATATAGGCCAAAGGCTAGTACAAACTCGGGAATATTAAGTTTTTTGTTGAGCCTAGGATCTCTAGTTTTCATTACCACGGATATATCGCCGAAAGTATAGGCTCTATTTTCGATTATATCCTGTGAGGCAATGAGGAGAGAGGCTAGATTAACATCTTTCCCTTCTAGTATATCTCTTTTTAAGTTTTGTGGTATCAAATATACTGGGTTGATTATATTAGATGTTTTAGCAGGGAATGGATTGGAGTTACCTCCTGAGCTTGTTTCTGGATGTCCTAGTGGGACTTGTACTTCCGGAATGCTAGCTTGACAAGAGGTTTCCAGATTATCTAATCTATTATTTATGGTAGCTACTGAAGCCACCAGGGAGGTCATCATATTACGTAATTCTGACAAGCTATTTTGGATCGTAGCATTGGAACTGGGGCCTGGTAACTCTACGTCTTGCGAGTTTAATAAGCGGAAAAGTTCAGCTTTTCTGGCTGTAGCCGGAAAAGGAATGTTCCTTTTATTCAGTTCAGCAGTGATTTTTGGGACAGTCCAGGATCTGTAGTTGGACATCGCACTGGACTGTCTTGGCTGACTGCCAGGTCTGGAGGGAGTGCTGGCAAGTGACAGGTCTTCTTCTTGAACTGACTCGTTAGACATGCTATGGGCGTGAAAAAGAGATGTTATGTTAGGAAATAACTTTTTTTTTTTTTTAAGAGTGTGCTGGCTGACTAGCTAGTGCCGCTCTGCGGCGAAGCAATTACACTAAGCCGGTGACTGGTGAGGCCCTGCTAAGTGCCAAGCGGCTTGAGAGGCTCTATCTATGAGTTGGCGCGAGGGAATTTCGTGGCCACCGAACGTTGTGGCGGGGTGTTGGCCTCTCGATGAGTAGTAGTCATAAGATAGAATGGGAGTGACAGGTGAGGCCCTCTCTATGCCACGTGCGAGGCGGCTACCTATGGATTGGCCCGAGGGACGTAGTACCTCTGAATTGAGGATGGGTGTTGGCCTCGCGGGACCACTATTTTAAGGCGAGAGAGCCGGGATGATATTTAACACTACTGGGTTGCTATGACCTTAACAGCCAGCCACCTAAACTACGAGGGACGATACGTACGAAAAAGAAATAAATAAACGTTCGTTATCCTTACCTGTATGCGAACTTGGTACGTACTTGAGTCGCACTAATGAGTTTGTATGGTCGGGTGGTATATATTTTTTTTTTTTTTTTTTTTTACCCGAGCTGAATCACCTATTGCAAACAAAAAAAACAAATGGGAGGCGTAAACTAGGCGGACTTGCTAAAAATGTTTTTTATTTTTTTATTTTTATTTTTTTTCACTAACCGGACCGTGAACGTGAAAACCTGCGTAAATTGGTAGTACTGAATGACGAAATTGAATTCCTAGAAAGGAAAGAATTGTTTATAAACAGCGTACGTAATACCAATTCGTAGTAAGATGAATAACTGGGTAGTTTTATGATTAAATTAATGAGCAAGTTTTTTTTTTGTTTTTTTTTTGTTAAACTCTACCCAATACATAATCCTTGTTTAACGCTTTCATTAATGGAGGGGTAGAAGTATGAAAACAGCCAACGGTGGCTATTAGGCATACTGGGAGAGCACATTTCTAGATTGAAAGATTCTAAAACTGCATGTGTTAATAGCCAGCATGGCATGCCTTGTACACATAATAAATGTAAATGGTTTCCTATGACACGTATAAAGTAAGTAACATAACAGTATAACGAAGAAACAAATACATGTACATTCTAAGTAGAAAGAAACAGGACGATACGAATTGTAATTGATATGCCCCTTTTTCACAACAGTGCAATAGTAGACTGAATCAGACATAGGTCAGTTTATTTTGGAATAAACATATCAGCCAGAGGACTCCAAGCACCGTAATCAAGAGTAACTTTAGTTAAATAAACCCTTATAAAGTCACTTCTTCTTTCTCTGTAAGTGACAGAACATGTAACAGCTGTAAGAAAACGAATGGCAACCCCCCCCCTGTAGAAAACCCCCATGCGACCAGTTGCTTAATCGAACAGTTATGAGGACTTACAGTTGTTGTAAACACCGAACGGAGCCGTTCGTGAGCTCTCACTGAGACGCTGGACGTACTCTGTGAGCGACGCGGGAAAGTGACGTCAGAGGTCTGCGCGCACCGGAAGCGAGGAGACGGATTTCCGGAACCGACGAAGACAGGTAAGTGAGGGTTCCCTGGGCTTAAATAGGCCTAAATCCCTCCCACAATTACAGGCATACGCCTTCTATATATATATATATATATATATATATATATATATATATTCGCTGGAGGTCTTTTGTTGCTAGAATAGAAAAGATACATCTGATTTAGTGAGATCCTGTTCGATCTGATATTATTTTTCTTTTTTTTTTCTATTTCTTTCTGTGTTTTTAAGGCATGTTTAAGCCTGCTTACCTTGTAATATTTGAAAATGTCATGACTGTTCCTGCATGCTTTATATTAAGAGCTAAAGTCTTCCATTTAATACGTTTGTTTTCTCTCATCCAAACAAATTTAAGAAAATAGTGTTAAATATCTTGTGCCAGTTTTCAGGGTATTTCAATAAGATATTGAGATAAGTCTTAAGCTATATATCCATTTCAGCAGAATGTATGCCCAAAGTATATTTATTCTTCCCCACCAGTTACATTTTCTCAATTTAAGTAAATGTTTGTTTATATGTCTTAACAGGGGTAGGTGACGTCCTATTAAATCTTTAAGAAGCAATGTAATTTTAATACCTAAATACATTATATGTTCCTGGGTCCATATTAATCCATATTTGGTTTTACAATTTTCTCCAATAGTTTTTTCACAGTTTTAAAGTTGAAAAGTGGATTTAAAAAAAAAAAATATTATTTTTTAGAATAACTATCTAGCTCTTAAACTAGAGCTTCTAAAGACATTAATGGTTCTTCTAGAGTCAATAGGACATCGTCCGCATACATATTTATTTTGCTAGTGCTATTCATTGTTTGGAACCCTTTACTCTTTTAATGTGTTCTAATTTTGATTGTAAGTGCTTCCAAGGCTATTATATACAGAAGGGGTGATAAAGGGCAACCCTGCTGTGTGCCATTATGAATTTTAAAATAATCAGAAGTTATATTTTGGGTTCTCACATTTACCGATGGTCCTTCATACAGAGCCCTGCTCGCTCTCATGATCCCCTTCCCAGAGCCATATTCTCCTAAGGTTTCAAACATAAATTCCCAGTTCATTCCATCAAAGGCCTCCTCGGCATCAATTGACAGGACGATCAGAGGAACATTCTGCTTTTCCGACCCATCTTAGATATCTATAATTCACTTCAGATGATTACCGTGTATACTTCTCTATAAGTCAAAATCGTGTATAAATCGAGCACAGTTTTTTGACCAACAATTGTGAAATATGCTATGACTCATGGATAAGTCGAGGGTGCGTAATTCGAATGGAATTGTTCGGCTTCTGTTTGGTTACCGAACAGACTCTGTGTGGTACCCCTTCTTAACACTTCGTAATCACCCACCACCCCTGGCTGTGAACCACAAACAAGCATTCCCTGGGTGGCCGCCATTCATATATATACAGGGAGTGCAGAATTATTAGACAAGTTGTATTTTTGAGGATAAATTTTATTATTGAACAACAACCATGTTCTCAATGAACCCAAAAAACTCATTAATATCAAAGCTGAATATTTTTGGAAGTAGTTTTTAGTTTGTTTTTAGTTTTAGCTATGTTAGGGGGATATCTGTGTGTGCAGGTGACTATTACTGTGCATAATTATTAGGCAACTTAACAAAAAACAAATATATACCCATTTCAATTATTTATTATTACCAGTGAAACCAATATAACATCTCAACATTCACAAATATACATTTCTGACATTCAAAAACAAAACAAAAACAAATCAGTGACCAATATAGCCACCTTTCTTTGCAAGGACACTCAAAAGCCTGCCATCCATGGATTCTGTCAGTGTTTTGATCTGTTCACCATCAACATTGCGTGCAGCAGCAACCACAGCCTCCCAGACACTGTTCAGAGAGGTGTACTGTTTTCCCTCCTTGTAAATCTCACATTTGATGATGGACCACAGGTTCTCAATGGGGTTCAGATCAGGTGAACAAGGAGGCCATGTCATTAGATTTTCTTCTTTTATACCCTTTCTTGCCAGCCACGCTGTGGAGTACTTGGACGCGTGTGATGGAGCATTGTCCTGCATGAAAATCATGTTTTTCTTGAAGGATGCAGACTTCTTCCTGTACCACTGCTTGAAGAAGGTGTCTTCCAGGAACTGGCAGTAGGACTGGGAGTTGAGCTTGACTCCATCCTCAACCCGAAAAGGCCCCACAAGCTCATCTTTGATGATACCAGCCCAAACCAGTACTCCACCTCCACCTTGCTGGCGTCTGAGTCGGACTGGAGCTCTCTGCCCTTTACCAATCCAGCCACGGGCCCATCCATCTGGCCCATCAAGACTCACTCTCATTTCATCAGTCCATAAAACCTTAGAAAAATCAGTCTTGAGATATTTCTTGGCCCAGTCTTGACGTTTCAGCTTGTGTGTCTTGTTCAGTGGTGGTCGTCTTTCAGCCTTTCTTACCTTGGCCATGTCTCTGAGTATTGCACACCTTGTGCTTTTGGGCACTCCAGTGATGTTGCAGCTCTGAAAAATGGCCAAACTGGTGGCAAGTGGCATCGTGGCAGCTGCACGCTTGACTTTTCTCAGTTCATGGGCAGTTATTTTGCGCCTTGGTTTTTCCACACGCTTCTTGCGACCCTGTTGACTATTTTGAATGAAACGCTTGATTGTTCAATGATCACGCTTCAGAAGCTTTGCAATTTTAAGAGTGCTGCATCCCTCTGCAAGATATCTCACAATTTTTTACTTTTCTGAGCCTGTCAAGTCCTTCTTTTGACCCATTTTGCCAAAGGAAAGGAAGTTGCCTAATAATTATGCACACCTGATATAGGGTGTTGATGTCATTAGACCACACCCCTTATCATTACAGAGATGCACATCACCTAATATGCTTAATTGGTAGTAGGCTTTCGAGCCTATACAGCTTGGAGTAAGACAACATGCATAAAGAGGATGATGTGGTCAAAATACTCATTTGCCTAATAATTCTGCACTCCCTGTAGGAACGCACGTGTTGTCTCCCGAACGCAGGCAGTGGTACATGGTCATCGATGGCATGGATCTCTGAGTTGACTATGCAAGTTGGCCTTGCTAAAACTTGTATCCCTGCCCATTCAACTTCCCGACCAGCTGGGAGAATGGCGTTCGGGAGTCAACATTGCCCCGCATTCCACTCCCGAACGCCGTTCGACTCATGAATGCCGTACAAAATTCTAGCAAAACTAGCACTAACCCATGGATAAGTTCTCCCTGCGTTTTGAAATGAAGTTTAAGAGTAAAATTTTTCGACTTATACCCAAGTTTATACGGTAATCTGTTTTAACCTTTTCTTTTTTTTCATGTGCCATTTGCTTCCTTTATATATGTTTTATGAGCCATTTTGGGATTGTTTATGGAAAGATGGGAGGACTTTGCATGGACTTCTTGATCTCCCAATTATTACAACAAGGTGCCAATTGTGCACATGCGCATAAGGAGGAACGGCACATGAGAATGAGGCTTGGAACGCTATCAGTGCAGATGAGCCTCATCCGGAGCAGCTCGACGTGGATAGGCGGGTGAATAAGGCAGAAGCCTTACCGGGTAATTTAAAACCACGCTGAAAGGAGAAGGACGACGCTGCACGGGAGATCTTTGAAGCGATTACCCCTGAGGAAGTCCGATTGGTAACGGACGAAACGCGTAGGGTTGGACTATTCTAGTGAGGTTTTTATTCTGTTATTTTGTTTTTATTTTTATCTTTGTAACAATAAATAGTTTTTACAACTTATAACAGTATCCCTCATATTCGTTATCGACTGGAGGAGGATGGCTGTGGAAAAAGTTTGTTGATATGCCTTTACATCACTACTAACTTGTAAGTGCAATCTATTGTAGTGCAGGATATAAACATATATCATCTACACTTATTTCTGGTTTATTTCTCTCCTACATGTCCACGCTTCCATGCTGATGATCTCACATCATCTGGCCCTGATCTGTCTGCCTGGCTGACATGATCAGAAGTGATTTCCTAAGCCAATCATAATGCTTTCCTATAGGATTGGCTGAGACTGTAAAGGAGACAGATCAGGGGCAGAGCCAGCACAAGTCAAACACAGCCCTGGCCAATCAGCATCTCCTTATAGAGATGCAGAGGGTGGAGACACAATGTCAGTGCTGCACACTGTGCAGCACTACCCCAGGAAGCACCTCTAGTAGCTATCTGAGTAGTGGCCAGTGGAGTTATACCTAGGCTGCAATGTAAACATTGCCTTTTCTCTGAAAAGACAGTGTTCACTGCAAAAACCTGAAGGGAATGATTTGTCACAGCGCTGAGGTTTCATATCGGCATGACCGCGCCTGATCAGTGCGGTCACGCCGATACTAAAGCCACAATGAAGTCCCTGATCAGCTCGGCCGCACATGAGCAGGGCGGTCACACAGAGGAGAGAGAAAGGTTCTCACATGGATCGCGGAGTATTGCCGCCCAATCCTCCTGTAAGACGGGTCCTGGCTGGTGCGGCGTTCTAAGGGACAACGGCTGCTGCGGTCCCGTTCTTACTAATTCATTACACAATGCCCACATTAAGGATGGCACAGGCATGCATGTGACATCACGCTGTAGACGCACGCGCACATTTTGTGGTCAAAGGCCACATACTGACCAATCACAGAATTTAAACCCTGTAATGCCTTTTCTTAGTGCCCTGTCGTGGTTTCCACTTGTTGGTTGTCAGAGAGCGCATTTTTGGTAATATTTTCTTGTGTTTGACATTGGCTTGTATTTTGACTTTCCCTACTTCTGGTATACTGACCTTTGGCTAGTATATTCATATTGTCTCATTCTGTATCCCCGACCCCGGCTTGTTTATAGACCTCTCTTTTATGTTAAGTCCGGCCATTCTAAGGCTCAGTATACGTTGTTTGTGTTATCATAGTTTTGCGTGTTGGGTCATACCATAGTCGTGACGTGCGTATACTCAGCAGAACAAATACAATAAGCTCTAGTTGTTCTGGTGACTATAGTGTCTCTTTAACACTCTTTTGATCAATGGTTGTAAAGGAGTTTGATCATCTTTTCTTAGTCTTTTGTTCTTGTCTTTTATATTTTCTTTACATTTGTTAGGTTCTTGATTAACCTTTTTACTAGACATTTTTGCAAAATGATTAAAGGACCACTATAGTGCCAGGAAAACATACTCGTTTTCCTGGCACTATAGTGCCCTGAGGGTGCCCCCACCCTCAGGGTCCCCCTCCCGCCCGGCTCTGGAAGGGTGAAAGGGGTAAAAACTTACCTTTTTCCAGCACTGGGCGGAGAGCTCTCCTCCTCCTCTCCGCCTCCGTTACGCCCCGCCGGCTGAATGCGCACGCGCGGCAAGAGCTGTGCGCGCATTCAGACGGTCACATAGGAAAGCATTTACAATGCTTTCCTATGGACGCTGGCGTGCTCTCACTGTGAAAATCACAGTGAGAATCACGCAAGCGCCTCTAGTGGCTGTCAATGAGACAGCCACTAGAGGATTAGGGGGAAGGCTTAACCCATTCATAATTATAGCAGTTTCTCTGAAACTGCTATAATTATGAAAAAATGGGTTAACCCTAGAAGGACCTGGCACCCAGACCACTTCATTAAGCTGAAGTGGTCTGGGTGCCTAGAGTGGTCCTTTAAGGGAGAAAATAATTGCTCTGTTTCTCATTTGTTACAGTTAATTTATTAGTCCTATTAGTTATTTATCTAGGTTTCTTTGTTTTCGTTGGAGATAAGTGATTATAATATCATTCAGCCAGTTCAAATTTTGTCTCTATCTTATACTGTTTCTTTGTATAACGGGATAATTCTAACTTTATAACAGCAGTAAGGGATTCTTTTATAAATACAGAAGAACCGTTCAAGGGACACTATAGTCACCAGAACAACGACAGATTATTGTATTTGTTCTGGTGAGTAGAATCATTACCTTCAGGGTTTTTGCTGTAAACACTGTCTTTTCAGAGAAAATTCAGTGTTTAGATTACATCCAAGTGATAACTTAACTGGCCACTCCTCAGATAGCTGTTAGAGATCCTTCCTGGGTCATGGCTGCCTAAAAT